CAGGATCGAACATTGTTTCGTTCTGCTGTGCATGGAGTCGCTATGAGTCGGTTCCGACTCGATGGCACCTGACAACAACAACAACAACAACCCCACCAAAGGTAGCAGCTTTGGGTGGCCTTGGGTCAGGGTGAGACTTAAAGCTGGCAGGTCCAAGTGAGGAAGGGTCCATCCCATGCTCCAGCTGCGTTAGGTGCAGCCAGCATGGGCAGCTGCGTTAGGTGCAGCCAGCATGTCACCCAAGTTTCTCTTGGCCCAGGGATGCCACTTCGTCTTTGGCCCTCCTCCCTTCCCCACGACTTTGCCTTCTTGTGTGTTCAGACCATTCTCTCTCCCTCATGTGGACCATGGACTCAAAGGCTCAGACTGTGTCAAACTCTGCTTTATTGGAATAGAGAAAATAGGCAACAGGAATTAGGATGGGTGCTGGCAGCTCTAGGTCCCCTGCCACCATTCCTCTCAGCCCTCAAACCTGCCTCCATAGGGCTCCCACTTGTCTGGACCAGGGAGGCTTCCACTTTGAAAAATGGCTTGGGTGGGAGCTTCCCATGTGCACATTGCTACCAGCTTTATGATCAGTAGCAGCAAATTGCCAACAATGACAACAGCAACAAAGGACTGGATTTGACACTTCAGAAAGGACGTGTAAGAGTAAAACAGATCCACAGTGCCACTTGTTAACACGGTCCCACAAAAAGACACGACACTTGTGCCTGGCCATGTCACACTGCAGATAAGCAGTATGCCCGGGGGAGGCTGATGGCACAGACAGAGCCCCTCATAGGTCCTGGTGTTGGACTCCCAAGGCTAGAACGAATGAACTGAACACATGTGCTCACATTCTCCACATTGACAGTCAAATTAAAGTAGCAAAAGAGAGGAGAAAACACTTATAAAAAGAACAGAGAAAGCCTGCTTCCTCGCCCCAGTGGGCAGCAAAGGCTGCTTGTGCCCAGGCTAGCCAGTGAGCTCCACGGGCAGCTCCCGGCCACACAGGGCCTCCCACTGGCGGGCCAACAGGGAGATGAGCTTCTCACGGCTCTCAGCGCTGGGGACAAACACTTGCCACTGGACCTCATGGCCCTGGCCAGCTTTGGCCAGGGTCCCTGGCACCTCCCCAAAGTGGTTCAGGGTGACATTACCCATGAGGTCGTGGCCCTGCACATCATCAAAGACAAGGGTGAGGGCCTGTGGGTAGGTCTGGTAACCCATGAGGACACGGTCCAGGTCCCGGACACGGCGGCCGTCGTCTAACCGGTACCTGTCTCTCTGTGGTGGCTCTTTGGCGAACTCGGGAAGTGGGTAGTGGACATAGTCCTCATCCAGGAGAAAGATCTCAGCGCTGGTGAGTAGGAGTGTCTTGGGGCGCAGCATGCCCCTACAGCGCCCGGGGGGTGGGGTGCCCACCTGGAAGGCCTGCACATATAGCAGGATGCTAAGGGCCGGGGCCTGCTCCGTGGCAGCCACTTTCTGGGCCACGATGAATGTCAGATCCCCGATCTCCTCTTCACTGGGGTAGGTGAACTTGACACGACTCGAGTGTATTAGCTCGTAGTTCTCCATCTTTCCTGCAGACAAAGGCCATCAGAGCTGCAGCCTGTGGCGGAGCTGGGAGTGTCAGGGACCCCACGCCACCCAGAGACCCCAGCAGGAGCTGCAATCTGCCAGAGGAAGGGGGCAGGTTCTTTATAGGCAGCAGCCCAGATCAGAGCAGAACCTTGAGAAGTGTCTATTAGAACATTTGCTGGGATGGAGACTTGGCCATGGAGAGGCCCCATGAAAAACCCTGGCCAGTCAAAGGGTAAAAGGAAAAGTGAGGGGGCGAGAGGCAGAGCAGGTGCTTGAGAGAGATGCTCTGGAGTCAGTGTGGAGGCAGTGGGGTTGCCCTGGGGCTGGGTACCTGTGCTCTTGTTCCCAAACTCAGAATAGAAGTCCTTGTCAACAGGTTCTGGTGACGGTGTGCGCTCCAGTGAGGAGAGCACAGCCATGAGGTGCTGGAGAAAGCAGTGTGTCAGGTAGCTGTCCCGCGTCAAACACGTCACCACCTGCACCGGGGAGGAGCCTGCACAAGGGGGGAGGCTGGTCATGGTCATACGTCCGTGCCCTCACCAGAGCCATTTCTAACCTCCAGTGATTAAAAGCATACAAGCTCAGGGTCAGGAGGGTCCCTGTGGCCAATATAGCTGGGGCCCGGGGAGATGGCAGCTTCTCAGGCCGGAAGGGCTGTGACATTTTTCTGGAAGGGGATACGGCATTAGGGAAAGAGCTTAGTTTTCAGGAAGTGTGAGTCAGAAACATCCTGCCCGCCAGCTCTCCGCTGCCACTGTCTGGGCTTGAGGCTTGCTGCACACCCTGCCTCCTGCTTCCAACTTCTGGGCGAGTTCTGCACTCTCAGCAGTTCCTGAAGCTGCTTCCTCCCGTCCAGGCTCACTGGCTTGTGAGCAGAGAGATAACTTTGTCTCTGATAGTGCACTCCTGTGTGGGAGGCAGGGCCCACTGACAATACTGGCCTTCACCCCACACAGAACAGGCATGGGGGTCACTCACCAGTCAGCCGGAAATACTGGTCAAAAAGCCCGACGTTGACTGACTGCAAGTCGCTGAGTTTTAAGACAAAGCACTGGGAGATGTGGAAAGGACTGTTGTTATAGTCGGTGTTTTTCTGATGCCAGAAATCTGTGATGGAGAGACGTGGATCAAGCACAGTGGTGACTGGGGCGAGCAGCAGTGTCCAGCATAAACGACCCCTTGGCCAGTCTAGCTGGAGCCACCACTGCCTCTGTGCACGCAACGCCTCTGGGGAGCTGCCCCGCCGGTCCCCCGGCACTCACTAGGTCCCACTTGGCCTGATATTCTTTAGCTCGGCTGCCACCACCCCTTCTCAGACAAGACGCACAGGCCCCGAGCCCGTACCCTGCAGCGGTTCTGAGAAGTATCGGCGCAGACCATCGTGCAGCACCAAGTACACGGCCTTGGTGGAAAGCAGCACGCAGGCGGTGACCTCCAGCCCGGGCGTCTGGTAGAACACCACGGAGGACCACATGAGGTGCCTCAGCTCCTCGTTCTCCACCTGTACACAGAGGGTGGGTTGGGGCCTGCAGGGAAACACAGCCTGTGCAGGACATACACCCCTGGGACTTCTGGACCAGGTCTGTGGAGCCCCGGGAGGGCCAACCTCTCTCCTCAGTCAGTCCAGACACTAGGAATGGCCTCGGAAGGCTGTGGGAAGGGGCAGCTGGGCATGGTGTGAGGGATTCTGATTCTCCTCTGTGGTGGGCTAGATCAGCTCAGCACCTCCCTACCCAGGTCCCCAAAGTGAAGCTGGAGGAAAACACCAAGCCCTCATATGACTACTCCTGAAGTCAAGCCCTGACTCATCCCAGCGGATGCCAAAACCAGAACCCACACTTCCCACACAAGTGCCAGCCAGTGAGCCCACGTGCCCCGCGCCCTGCTACCTCAGCAATACTGCCGTGGAAGAACTCAATGATGGCGCTTCCCCGCAGGCTGCCAATGTGCTGGAGTGACGGGCAGACAGGCAGGTGTGACGGGATCTCATTCTCCTCCGTGGTGGACTGGATCAGGTGGTCGCTTGGATACTGGGAAGGCGCCTCTGCTTGCACTTCCGCTGAGTCCTGCACTGGGGCCAAGTCCTCCTCTGAGGTCTCTACTGAGACCAGAAATGGAGCCTCAGCTTTCACTGGAGCCAGTGCAGGGGCCTCAGCTTCCACTGGAGCAAGTGCTGAAGCCTCCACTGGACCTAGGGCCTCTGACGGAACCAGTGCAGGGCCTTCCACTGATCCTGGGTCCTCCGCTGGGTCCTCCCCTGGGCCTGGGTCCTCAGCCTCTGTTGGGACTTCCACAGGGATCTCCACTTGGCCTGAGGCTGAAGTTGACGCTTCCTGGGGACGCTGGTCATTGCTGTATCACCGCCCCCCCACCCCCAAGAAACACCTTATTAATATGTGGACTCCAAATGGACAGTCACAACACACGTGAAACCTCAGGGTTCAAGGAAGTGTGTGTATCACTTGCTCCCTTCCAGGGATCCCCTGGGGTCTTATCACCAGGTTCCCTACAAAAAGGACAAAGTAGCTCTTGGCAGGGAAATGGGCTGCTTGGGCAGGGTGGATGCAGCCTGTTACCCCATGGTAGAGCCAGACAGACACATGTGTTGGTGGCTTTGGTCAATGCATTGAAAATGCATTCTGAGAAGGTGGCAGCGGTGTTAGAAGCAGCCTTCCAGAATTCAGAGTGTGAACCAGGTACCCAAGGCTGGGACCTGGGTACAGCCAGTACTTGTGGAAATGAGAACCCAAAGACTCAGTTTGCCCTTTGGGGTCTCCTCAGTGATCCAGGTCCACGGCTCGTGGCCACACTGAGTTTCTACTGTTTTGTGAACAAGATCAAATTAATATTCCTAACTCTTGAAGCTGAAGTTGGGTGACGCCCTGGGGTTTCCTGCAACTAGCATATATGCTGGTTGGGGGGTTGGGGGTGAGGAGTGTTACAACAGTCTTTTAGACATCATTCTCTCAACTGGACTAGTCCACCTCTTGAAAAGAGATTCCTAGGCCTGAACTTGCAATGAGCCAAATGTCCCCAAGAAGCCTCCGGACTGTCTAGCTGTCCAGGGCAGAGGTGTGAAGGGGGCCCCAGTTTTTGCGGGCAGTCCCCACTAGGGCCAAGTGCCAGCCAGGTTTGGGGATGGTGGTGAGGTGAAGACAGACTGCTTGCCACCCAAAGAACTGTCACATGTGCCCTCCATCAGAAGCAGCAGCAGGGGCCATCCATGGAGGACATGACCTGAGGTGGGCACAGGCCTGGAGGAGAACCAGCTGGGAGCTGCAGTCAGAGGGAAGGCAGATTCTGTGAGATGCTAGGGTGGGGGCAGGAAAGAGGAAAGAAGTGAGGCTGTGTCTCAGGGACCAGGATGGTAGGGCTTTCTCCCCTCAAAACCAAAACAACAAATAAAAGCCAAACCCATTCCACTGAGGGAATTCCAACTCCTAACTCTTTAGGGCAGAGTTGCAAGTACTGTGGAATCGGTTCGAACTCACAGTGACCCTGTATAGGGTTTCCAAGGAGCAGCTGGTGGATTTGGAACCACCAACCTTGTGGCTAGCAGTCCAGTGTTTATCCTAAAGTGCCACACTATGACTCCATAGGGTTTCTGAAAAATTTTTATAGGAGCAGACACAGTCCTATCTTTTCCCATAGAGCAGCAGGTGGGTTTAGACTGCTGACCTTGTGGTTTGGTTAGCAGCCCCAATGCCTAAAACCCACAGGGCCACCAAGGTCCCTTTTCTAGTCCAGGAGGAGGCCAAAAACCCCAAACAGTTGCTGCTGAGTCTTACTCATGTCAACCTGTCTATATGTTAGAGTAGAACAAAGCTTTGTAGGTTTTTAAAGGCTGACTTTTTTTTTAAGCAAATCACCAGACCTTTTTTCTGAGGTGCCTCTGGGTGGACTTGAACCTCCAACCTTTCAGTTAGCAGCTAAGCTTCTTAAGTGTCTGCACCAGTTAAGGACTCCCTATTGGAGGAAGTCCTTCATGTTTGAAGCCCAGGAGTCAGAGAGAGGAGATGGGGACAGCCCTGAGGGTACAACTTCCCTCTTTGAAGCCCCAGGGGCCAGGGGTAAACTATGGGTATAGCTAGGCCCCCCACAGACCCTTTAACCCTGTTCTCATGTGCCCCTGAGGGAAATTGGGGAGGAAGTTTCTGAGAGGCCAGGAGCCATGTGAGGTAGAGGGAAGAGAGTGAACAGGTGGACAGGCTGCCAGCTACAGTGCATGCCCAGGGCCCTCTGCTAGGCACCTCTGAGAGTAAGGGCTTTTGGACAAAATGACCCCTCAAACTCAGATGCTCAGACCCTGTCACCTCTAGTGAGTAGGGTTCCTTTATAAGAGATTCTCAAAATTATACCCAAAGAGAGGACCCCGTCAGTAGCTTACTTCTTCCTGGCACGGTCTCAAAGATGGGTGGTGGCTGGAGCAGCCCAGCAGCCCACACCACAGCCACGGGACTGAGCTCCTAGAAAGACAAGCTGGGCTGAGAGCCCAGTTATGCAGGACCCTAAGTGGCACGGGAATGGGCCTGTTCTAAAGCCTCGAGAAAGGAGCAGCCTAGTGCCCAGTCCAAAGGAGCAAAGGGTAATGCCAAAGTGGCTAGGAGCTGAGAAGCTCAGGGGCAGAAGGGGCTTGTAAGAACTGGGCCAACCACGGGTTCCTCATGAGCTGCAGACGCTCAGTCTGGTGCTGGGCAAGTGGTCTCAGACCTGGTGACGCAGACTCCCTAAGTACTCAGCTTGCACATATGTCAGCCTCATGCTTCTCTGCCCCCAAGAACCTGTGCTGATTCTCACCTGGCCCGGTCCCTGTCCTCAGCAGGTTGATTGTCCTCAGTGGGGCTGCAGGACCTGCCAACAGTTGTTGGAGTCTTGGCGATGACCACGGTCTTCAGGTCCTGCAGTGAGGCCCGCAGCTGGTTGTAGATGCGCAGGAAGTGGAACTTCTCATGGGGCAGCACAAAGATAGCAGTGACAAAACGGTAGCCCACGAGCAGCTCAAGCACGTGGCCATCGGCGAAGGCACCACGTGGCTGAGTGCAGCTGCGTGTGGGATCCAGCAGCACGGTGGAGAGTGGCACGCGGCTGAGCTTGAAGCTGTTGCGGTTGCGGCAGTTGTGGGTGCCTCGGTTGGGCATGGGGTTGAAGTCGGCCTTGATGACGTTGAGGTGCTGGGGTGTGAGCAGCAGCCAGTAGGGGATGGCGGCGGACTTGACAGCCTCCGAGGGTGCACAGCAGGAACGGCGCACGGCGGAACACAGTGTGCAGCTGGCCCACTCGATGTTGCCCGAGTAGTCACCAGCAGCTGTCTGCACCATGCGCTTATCGCTGTAGACCAGGTAGACAGGGAAGCAACCCTGGCTGCACTCCTGGCAGCCACCCGCCACCTTGTAGAAAGTGAGCAGCTGACGCAGGAACTCCTGCAGGCTGGTGTGGCTGCCATAAAGCACGGGACTGCACAGCATGGCCATGTGCTGTGGGGCAAAGCACGAGCGCAGGTCTGCATGGAACTCGTGCAGGTTGGCAGCGTCAGAGATGATGAACAGCGTGTTCTCACTGTGCCGCACCTTCAGCACCAGACACAGCTCAGGCATGAGGAAGCCGAACTCAGTGAGGTCGCCATGTGGGAAGCAGAAGACGAAACGTAAGGCTGAGAGGATGTGCTGGCTGCTGCCACGAGACTCCTGGTGCGGGATCTCAAAGACGGCGATGCCGAAATCGGTCAGCACCAGGCAGGCAGCAAACTGCCGGATGCTGCCCTGCACGTGGATCAAGAAGCACCACAGCACCTTGAGGATGCGGATGTGCTCCAGCAAAAAGTCCTCGTCGGCACCCAGGGCCCATTCCAGGGCCAGTCGCTCTTCTTCGCCCTCATCTTCCTCTTCTTCCTCCACTCGGCCACCCTCCTCCTCTTCCTCCATGTCTGGGGGTCCCATTTCAAAGTATCGGTTCTCAGCAGCATCCTCCTCCTCCTCCCCCTGGCCTTCCTCCCGCTGGTTTGCGGCCTCAATCCAGGCCGGCAGCTGCCGCTCAATTGCCTGCCTGATCAGCGTGCTCAGCCGCTGGATGAAGTCCTGGTTGGTGGCTGTGTAGCCAATGCAGGTGAAGGGCAGGAAGATGATCTGGCCGGACCCTGGCACCACCTGGACCTCTGGCTCTGCATGCTCCAGGCTGTGTAGAAGAGGCCAGTCAGTGACACCTGAACCGGGACACTGTAGCCTCCCATGGCTAGAATCTGCTGCTGCATCCTGGCCCCCCAGAAAACAGCCCACAGTTCTCCCAAGTCACCTAAACCTGCTGGGGAGCTGAGGTGGGAGTCAAGAATCCATACTCCTGGGGTTCCAACTCCAGCTGACTAGTCTTTCCCAGACTTCCCTGGTCACCACAAAAACCTCTCATCCGCTCACACAGCCAGCCATGAGTCCCAAAGGCAGGGAGCATTCAAGGACATGACCCACTTGGAGATAAATGTTCCTTCTGGTGACTTGAGTCAGGCCTTAGACCCTTCCCATTCACTCCTCTTGGCCACTGCTAACTCTCTGTGAGTGTGTATAAAACAGGGGTTGGTACGCTTCTGCTAGGAAGCGAGAAAGACTAAGTTTCACAGTCTCCTAGTCTTTATGACCCTTTAAAATTGTAAATATCCTTCTTAGCTCCTGGCCTCTACAAAACAGGCTATGGATCAAACGGGCCTTGACCTGCCAATTCCTAACAGAGGCTATGATGCGTCAAGCAGTGTTTAGGAATTAAAAGTTGGAAACAGACTATAGCCCATTCCATATGTGTTTACTTATAAATGATGAAATGGTTCTGTAGGAACTTGTTAACAGATTTTTAACAAAATCCACAGGTAGCTGTGGGCAGAGGGTAGTGGATGGGGACATGGGGGTAGGGCAGCCAGCCAGATCCAGAAAGAATCCCTGACGTCTTTCTTACCTTGCGCCACCAACAGCTCCTGGAACATCCCTTATATCTTCAGGAGCTGCCTGATAGAGAAGGAAGTGGGTCAGCCCTCCACCTGTTGTGGCTATCTCCTGGGCACCTGATCCAAGCTCTCTGCCTTTCCTCACTGTCTTAGCCCCAGCCGTCACCCTCAAGAGGCAGCACATATTTCCACACCTTGCTCTAGGGTGTGCTCTGGGGCCAGCAGTTACCCCATGAGTATGTGGTAGGGTTGGAGCTCACATCCATGTATGTCTGACCCCAATCTAGTCCCCAAACCCCTGGACCAGAGCCCCCACTACCTGAGGGCTCCGTGTGTCACCAGGAGGGTCTAAGGGGATAGTCTAGCCATTGGCTTGGCCCTTAGTGGCCTGCAGAGGATGCAGTGAGCTGAGGAAGCCCCTGGCTGGTTCTCCTGTCTGGTGGCAGGAAGAGCTGGGGCACTCCCAATTTGGGATCCATCCCTGCCTCTCACTAGCTGAGTGACCTGGGAGGGCAAAGGTAAGAGTGCCTGTGAGCACCAGACACAGATTGAGAGCTCCGGGACCCACCAGTGTTGTATGGCCGTGACCCTGCAGTGCTCAACTGACGAGAGGTGACATATCCCAAGGTCAAGTGAGCCACTTACACCCCACTTCCTCCTCTCTTCCCAGGGCACAGGAAGGGACTTGGAAACCACATCAGCAACAACAGAGGGGGTGCCAGAGTCACGCGGCCCCTGGGGTGACATGTAGGAAAGAGCAGAGTTGCTCTGGGAAGCCAGGCAGTGGGGGTGGGGGAGAAATGCTGTTTGATGGGCTTGAAGCCAACACCCCCACCCTGGGGGGCCTTCTCCAAGGGAATCTGCTCATATGGACTCTGGGGGAGCACCTGGCTTTCCCTACCAGGACCTAGGGAGCTGAAATTGCTGTTCCCATGGGCTCCACGGGAGAGCAATGCTGAACACTGACCTCTAACTACTGAGTTTGTCATTAGAACTAAGCAACAGACATGTGGGGGGCGGGGGCGGGAGTCAATGTGTGGTCAGAGCTAAGTGCACACAATACTGGGGACATCTGCCATGTCTCAACCAGGCTGCTTGTGTTCCCAGATCACCTTAGGCAGAAGGCCACCTGATGGAGACCACCAAGCTCCTGAAGCAGGAGGAAGGTATTACCTGTCCTGCAGGGATGGATTCCAGGGAGTCGGAGCAGCCCCGGGCAATGGGCCGGTCCTCAGGAGTCAGACTGTCAGTGGATGAGAGGCTGCTGGCCAGGGCCTCCTCTTGCACGAACATGATTCCTGGAGAGACCAGGGCGGGCGGGTGGGGCAGGCAGGGCAGGGAGAGCAGCCATTCAACCACCACGGTGGTGGGTTACCAGCATGGCTGCCCCCGGGGTTAGTCAGACGGGGCTCAGCCACAGGGACTAAAGAAGGAAATGTAACACTGCAACCTGTACACAACTCAAAGAAGGACCAAATGACCACTTATCTGACCTCAGGGTAGAGAGACTCTCTGAGCATAAATGCAATGGAAGAAATAGTGGCATGATTCCATAAAACCTTCAACTTATATGGATTAAGGGAAAAAACAAAACTGTAGTAAAAATTAAATGAAGAAGAAAAGCATTTATAAATTTTGACAAAAGATTCTTATTTTTAATCTCTAAAATGCTGTAACAGATGTCATATAAGTGGGGAGAGGGATGGAACCTCCACTAAGGGCCCGTGCAACGGACACCAACAGACACTCCACTGAGATGAGAAGGCCAATGGATGTAGAACAAAGGAATAGAATGTATACCCTCAAAAGTCACCAGGAAAATGTTAAGTTAGAACAAAAAACCCAGCTCTGGCAAAGATGAGACTGCCTGGGCCCCAGACCTGGCCTGTCTGCCAGGAGAGCTGTTTGGTGCTACGTCCATGGAAAGCCTACAACGTGTTCGCTAACTCCTAAGGAGATGCCCTGTGATGGACATCTCTACAGAGCTTCAGACAGGAAAGGGCTAGGACCTCTCACCTGGGGAGGCTGGACTTTCCTGTGTCAGTTTCCTCCTAGGCTGGTGAGTACAACCTGTGCTTAACACCCCTCGGCCTGCTTCTCATGGGACATACCACTGAGTCTCCCCTGGATGCCTGCACTCAGACTCAAGTATCCTGGACATAGTGCTTTCAAAGCCTGGTGAGCCTCTTTGATGGTGAAAGCACCTCTGGGATCGTTAGCTACTTCACTTTCTAGACTGGATGAGGGTAAAACCTTTTTAAACATGTTCCTAAACTCAATGAGTTGAAGGAACACTGGGCATTAGTTTCCGGTCTGGCAAAATGCTTGTCTCCAAAGCTCAACTTTATCACACTAGTCACCATGGTTCAATGAAATGACTGGTCTCAGGTCTGAGTCCCTTGTCTAGCTCAGCTGCTGCAGGGGCAGGACAGCTCATGCAGCCCAGGTCCCTCCACTCATGGGCCAGATCCGTAGATGGCCCATGTCCAGACACCCAGAGAGAAGCAGCAGGGCTGTGCAGAGGCAGGAGGGTGGCAAGCATATGCCACTGGGCCTTGGTCGATGCTACTGCTCTCTCCTGGGGTCTACCCTAGCCTTCTGAGCATGTTCAGGTCCTAGCATTCCTTCAGGTTCCCTCTGACACCACTTCCACCATGAAGTCGTCTCTGCTCTTCTGCCTGTTCTCCCTTAGGGAGCCAGCTCATCTCCCCAAGGGCTCCACGTTCCTCAGGGACTGTCCTAATCATTTTGAACATCCCCGCCCCTGCAAAGGTGTGGAAAAAAGAAAGTCTTTACTGCCCTGTTTCAGGAGTCAGGAGTCATGCTAAATGATTGCCAAGCGTTCATTCACACCTCATATTTACCACATTTCATCAAATCTAAGATGCAGGGAATATGGCGCCATCTTGGTCTCAGCAGAGGTGTCCAGAAGGTTTTCATTCGACTCCGTCACAAGTATCAGCTGGCTGACAATGACTATGAGAAGCCACTTACTGAAAGACGGATCTTAATTTCAGAGAAGTCACGAGGAGGAAACATGTGCATCTTAGAGTCGATGAAGTAGGGTGTATCCACATTACAGTCGAGAAAATGGAGCTTTGGAGAGGCTGCAAGTTGTCTGAGATAACATGGCCAGGAAGTTAGACCTTACACTCAGCTGTGTGAATCCAAGGTGCCTACTCCTCTCTAAGTCACCTCCCTAAAAGGCTTCCTCTCAGCTCCTACCAGTCACAACTCCCCAGAACTCTGAAACGTTGGGCTAACAGCTCCTGAGATGACCAGAGGCCTGGTGTTTAACAGACCACGCCCCTTCAGGCAGGCCCCCCGAGCGCCCATTTAATCACAAGCATAGGATCAGCGCTGGACTGCGAACCACAAGGTCAGCAATTCAAATCCATCAACTGCTCCTCGGGAACCCTATACAGGGTCACTATGAGTTGGAACCGATTCAACAGCACTTTAACAACAACACATTTACTTCTACAAAGCCACTCCTTCACAGGAAAAATCCCTGCCCATCCAAGCAAGATCCATGAACTGATCCAAAACCATGTGGATTCTTCCACATTAGTTTAGAAAAAAAACCACCACCAGCGTTTCTTGACTTTACTCCCCACCCTACCCCCAAGCCATTTGGAGATGAGGAAACGTGGATAGGGACAGTCTGTCAGCTTCCTTCCTGGACTGTTGTTGCCTGTATAAACAAGTGACCACAAAGGCCATTTCGAGATTGGGACAGGGATATCAGGTGAATCCTTAGACAGGGCCCGACCTTTTTTGTTTCTAACCAAAAGGAACGAGATGTGCACACACAGACATCCAGTGCAGTTTTATTTATAAGAAGTGCAAATCTGGAGACATCTCAATGTCCGGTGATTTGGAAAGGGGAAACAGACTGCAGTTACCTATTCTGTGGAGTGTCGGGGGGATTAGGGCAAAGGGGGAGGGGGCTGTGGCCTGGGAGTGGACACATCACTCAGTCTGCCCGCCCAAGGTCCACTCTCAACCAGTGTTTCCCACATGGTCGTTCACTCACTCACTCACTCACCCACCAAATGCTGACTGAGAATCAGCTGGGTCCTTGAACCTGAGAACCTAGCCCTAACACATTGTCCCTCCACTGACTCCAGTGCTGTGAGAGGAAAGCACAGAGATGTGGGGGCCCGGTGAAGGGTAGGCCCCCCTACAATGTATACTAGTGATACAAAGCTCCAAGATGCAAAAAAGAAAAAAACAAAACCAAAGTTTCAGTCAAGAGTATGACACAAGGAAATGTAGAATCACTCTGACACCTGACATCACCACTCCGCTCCTGTGATTTCTCTTTAGCATCTTATGGTCAGAACCCGGGCTCTGCATCCACTTTCCAGCTTCGGGGAAGCACATCTGCTCCTACCCAGCCTTCCTCTCTGAGACTGGAACAGCAGGAGAGTATTTTGTACCATGGCTTAATCTCCCTTTGGTCCTCCAGTGTGTGTCACATGCCAAGCTCTGCTAGCATAAATCATGCTGCCCATGAGCATTTTGTTCCCTTCCCATATCCCTCTGAGATAAAGTCCCCACCACTGGGGCTATCAGGCCAAGGGGTGGGAATGTTTCTCTGGCTCTTAAATCACAGGGTCAAATGGCTTTCCCAAGACCTCACACCAAGTTCTGCATCTCCAGGAGCCTGGGCGGGCGGCGTTCTTTCCTGTGTGGCCCGAGCCTCGGCTCCACTCGGGACGGCACACCCTCCCCTCTTCCGTGGGGGCCGGGCCGGCAGACACTCCCATGGGACCTGCTTCACTCACTCATCTCCGAGGATGCCTGGTTCAGAGGTGAAAGCTCTTTGAAAATGCTAAGACAGTGGGCAGATCAAAGGGACTGGTCTTCCACGAGTCCATAGGGACACAGACAGCCCACTGCGGCCCCATATGCAGTGTTTTGGGGCAGACTCATACCAAAAAAGCCACCACAGAGGAGCAGCAATGATTAACAAAAAAACAAAAAACTCCTCTTGGAGAGCTCAGGCTCTGGACTTGGTAGAGTCACAAGAAAGTAACCACCCTGTTCACATTGCCTGTGAGGGCTGGGGATCCTTATGAGCCAGAAGGCACCCTGTAGTACCCTAGAGGAGCTGGGAGTGGGCATCAAAGTAACCAGGGGTCCTAGCTAAGCCAAGAGCAGAGCTGAAATCAGGCCAGGTGCCTCTCACCATCTGCCAGGCCTGCAGGGGGCACCATGCCTTCCCTGGGTGTGAATCCTAATAGGATGAGGTGCCAGCATCTCTCTCCCAACCCCAGCTCAGCAAGGGGGCATAAGCAGGCAGCTAGACACATACACGATTACCTTGGTTGGAGAGGATGGGCTGAGGCAAGGAGGCAGAGGTGGGAGCCATGGTCGGGGGGGAGCTGCTGGGTTTGACACAGAGGGCAGCTGAGAGCCGGGAGTCCTCGCTGACCTGAGGAGGAGTGCTCGAGTCAGCTCCAGAGAGAAGAGTAAGTTCAGGAAGAACAGAATGCAACATGGCCAGGGTTATGAAGGGAGGAGTGCAAGGGCTCTCACAAGCATAGGTGGTGATGAAGATGACCAGCCCAATCATCCCAGCAGCTCCACGTGGCTTGCCCAAGGTTGTGCAGCCAGGGAGTGATGCAGCCAGGACTCAGTGGCCCCTAGGAGCCCATTCCCAGCTTCTCCCTTGGCTGGCTCTCAACCTACTCCCCACCACTGCCCACATAAACCCACCTTCTTATCTGAGTTGCTCAGTTTGGACTTGACCTCCTTGGCTTTCTGAATTGCTTTCAGCACTTCCACGGTGTCCAGTTCCTTCTCTGTGGTCACTGTATTGTCCAGACACACCTATAGAGAGCAAACCCAATGGCTATCAGCATGGGAGCTGGCAGCAAAGGATGGCAGGGGCTTTGGCAAGGTTTGGGTGTTGGGTTGGGACCAAGTCGTACGAGGATCCAGGAGTCTGAAGACAGGCTTACGTGCCCCCAGAAGCTCCTGGAGCAGTCCTGGTACCACACTGCCAGGTTCATCTTTAGGGCTCTAGGATGGGAAGGCAATAGGGCTCGGGTCCTGTGAGAAGGCTCAGGGATGACTGGGGCTAGGGGAAGGTACTGCCTTGAACTAAGCCTCCAATTACAAGCAGCACTCAGATCATCAAAGGGCAAGGGGAGGGCCTCTGGGCAGGAGAATCAGGGGGCCAAGGCCCAGGAGGCAGGGAGCAGTAGAGCAAAGGCAGGAAAAGGCAGTGGGGGAAGGAGGGAACCAAGGTCTAGAGAAGAGTGCTTCATATGGCCTGGGGGCCTTCCAAATTCTGGAGCTTGGAAGGAAAGGACACAGCAGATGAAGGCTGCCTGGTGACAATGTGGAGGAAGAGGACTCTGGGTTTGAAAAGATGGGTGGGGTAAGGGGATGAGATCCAAATGGACTCGCATGTGTCTCCTGGTCTGCAATTTGGGGAGAACAGACACTCCAAGGGCTGGTCAGAGGATGGAAGACAGCCTACATGAGGCTAAGGAGATGGGGTGAACCTGGTGAAGCACCTATTCAGATGGCCTGGTAGTAGGCGGCCAGATGCATCCAGCAGGCAGGAAACACCAGGCTGGCTGACATTGGCAAACATGGACACATTTCAGCTCAGGCTTCATCACCCATAAGTTACCCAGGAAACTGGGTTATTTCCAATACTTTCTGTCTCACCCTTGACTATAATAAACAATGCTTCTTTTTTAAAAAAGTTAAAGACAGTTCCTCCACAATCTTAGCCTGTGTCTGTTGGGCAGAGACCTCCCCGAGCCTAAAGCTCTGACAGAGCTCACAGAGGGTAACCTGCTGGGGAGCATCCTCAATAAGAGGGGGTGGGAGAAGCAAGGGTGCTTCTTCTGGTAGAGGCCCTGGATTTCCCAGAACTGAACAGGGATGCCCTTCTGATGCAGGAAAGGGGAGAACAATGGCCATCACTCTAGCTCTGATAACAGAAGCCAGCTAAAGACATACTCCCAGGACAAATACTGCATGATCCCACTTAAGAGGAAATCTCTAGAAGGCAAGCATGGGCTTGGTCCAGACACTGAAGTGTCTCTTGAAGGAAATGAAGTCTCTCTTGACGAATCTAGTCCAGAGTACCCAGAGTGGTGGCTTACCTCGGAGGCCCGCTCCCCGAACTGGGCGAGCACTTTGGTCCGGTAGTCAGGGATGATGCTCAGAGGGTTGTTCAGCAGGGACACATGCTCCAGACACGGGAGGCTGCCTATGCTCCTGACCTCCTCCATCTGCAAGGCACGAGCACCATTCCCCTTGGTCCCTCTTTCAATACTTCAACACCACAACACTTTTGATGGCCTCTTTTAAGGGAAATGAAGCTTAACTTTCTTCTTTAAAAGGATCATAGCAAGGCACAGAAAGCCCAGAAGCCCTGAGAGCCTCGTGGGATGTGAGTGACTCACCTGTTCGATTCTGTTGTCGCTGAGATCCAGGTTGACCAGAGAGTAGAGCTTGTGGAGGCCACTCAAGCTGTCCAGGAGGTTGCCTGCCAGGTTCAGGGTCTTGATGTTGCCTAGTTTGGTATGAACCCCTTCCAAGGATGACAGTTTGTTGTAGGACAGGTCCAGGTGGATGAGGTTGTACAGGTGCTACGGCAGTATTGAGAACAGGGTCAGAGGACTGAGATCAAGTCTCCAAAGAAATGGGAGGGATGCTAATGGTGGGATGGGCCTCTTAACCCTAAATAACCAATTTTGGACATCCGTTTCATTAACCTGGATGGGCATTTGGAAGGGAAGCCCTCTTCTCCCTCTGCAGAAGCAGCAAAGTCCATAGTTAGGGGAGAGCTATGAATATGAAGCTGTCCATTTCCATCGGAGATGAATTCTCTCCATCATGCCTGCTTTGCATTCACTCCACTAATTCTCTGAAGCTAGAGCAAACAGTCAAGGGACCCTAGAGGGAAAGCAGCACCTTCTGCACCTACAAACTCTTAGTGCACCCACCCAATTTCTAGGTATCTCTGAGAATAAACCCCTGGGGTATGACTAACTTCCCAAGGCTGAGCTCTCAGGTGAACAGGGCCTTGTGAGAAGCCCTCAGGCATCACTGGTCTCCAAGGATATTACCTGCAGATTGTCCACGACCAGCACGTCATTGTGGCTCAGATCCAGGAATTCAATCTTTGGAATCAGTTTCTTGTGAAAGAGAAAACCATGCAGGATGTTACTCTAGGACCTGTGATGTTACTGCTGACCCTGTGCGGTCCACAGGTGGGGGGCAGAGCCGCTCACTCTCCCCTCCTCACTACAGACTCCCAAGCTGGCTGGCTCAGTTGCTCACTGATGTGATGCCTCCTGCCAACCCAACTGACAGTACAGCTAAAGGACATGCAGGGGCTCCAGTAATCAGCACTAGTCAGATTTCACTGAACACTTGCTAGGAAAAATGGCAAAGTCCCAGATAGCAAAAGGCTTCCATCTTCTTCAACCTCATCACACCCACAGAGAAGCAGAGATGCAGGAATCACACCCCAAGCCCCATCTGGACATCACTCAAATACAAGCAAAGCGATCATCTATGGAATGATTTTTACACTTCTATTTAGGAGTACATTTCATCACCTACTTTATGTTTCTCTATCAAATGTACATGCATTTGAAATGCTTAATTTGGTTGCCTCACCAACTTCAAATAACATCATTTGAAATCAACTTTAAAAAGTATAGGCACAGAGCATTGGACCTCAGTTATCTGTTCTCGTTTCAGAAGAAGCCAAGTTAACTCCCAAACCTCAGAGTTTGGTCAGGTCAGAGATACCCCTGGCACTTGATGCCAGAAGAGCGTACCACAGACTCGTCGATCTTGGAGATGCTGTTGTGGCTTAGGTCCAGAGTGGTCAGTGTCTGCCATGTGGGAATGACAGCAGTCACAGGGCATTCCAGGGCTGTGCCTTCAGGTTCCCACTCATCAAATTCCGATGCTTCAGGAACAAGGACTTCCTGTGTAAGAACATCTGTTGAGCCCCACACTGAGGCCCTCACGCAACACTCGCTGGGAACACAATCATTGCAAAATTTAAGGAAGGACTTCAGCATATTTAGCATGTGGAAGGGTTGCATTAAAACGGGCCTTTGGTTTGTATGTCTTTAACCAATTGTGAAATAACGGAAAAGCTCAGCAACATAACAGCCACTTGGAATCTGTTCTGGCTCCGCTTCAGGAGCAAATGATTTTCAAACCTGTAAGGGCCTTTCGCTATGGAGTGATGCCTTTTTGAGCTTTAAATCATTGAGGCTGAAGGTCAGAATTCATGGTGTTTCCAAGCAACTGTGCTTTCCAAGCTGGCAATGCTAGCCCCCACTGCAAACAGCAGGCACTTTTAACTGTTACTTCACAGGGTTAGGAGTGTCTGGGTGGTACAAATGGTAAATGTTCTTGGCTGCTAGCTGACAGGAGGGAGGTTCAAGTCCACCCAGAGGTGTAGGAAAGCTAGGCAATTTACTTCCAAAAATATACCAGCCATTAAAAACCCTGTGGATCACAACATTAACTTGACAAATTAGCTAAGAGGCTTAGGAGACAGTGAGTTTATGTCAATAGGGGATGAACAACTCCAAAAAGGAGGATGAGGATGATCGCACAATTCCAAGAATGCAATCAATGTTACTGAATTGGAATCGCATATGTAGAAATGGCTGAATTGGTGTATCTGTTACTGTGTATATATTCAACAACAAAACAACAACAAAACAGTCCGGGGTCACCATGGGGTCACTGGGCAACAGTGTTGATTCCACAGCTACTGCTTCTGGTTTCACAGAGTGAAATCAATCAGATCCTAAGATACGGATCACAATGAAGAGCATTATGGGCGTGGAGGGAGAAGCCAGCCTCCTTGTTTCCACTTTCCTTGCCCACAAGCCTCTCCTTTCTCACTGGATCATGTCAGCTTCAGGGAGGGTCTCTATAAACAAGATACAAGCTCTCTTCTTTTAAACAGTAGCCTCAAGAGGAAGTTTTCACACAAACTAAATCTTGATTAGAAACTGCAAGTCCTAAAAGTTAAGTCACTATACATTTATATGTGGAAAATAATTTTTAACATTACTAAGAAGTTAAAAAAATAAAAGGAACTTCTTACACTTTCAATGCAAATTATTTCTGTTGTTCACATACAAACAATATTGTGCAGCCTCATCTGTTCTAACTCAAGTTCGCAGATGAGAAGATATAAGTGAGTGCTGAGTCAGTGAACATTTATTTACATCCGTCTACACAATAAATGTGCTGCTGTCACCTAGTGGTTAACATTAAAAACTACGATCATCAAAAACTAGCGCCATTTTAAAAATTAAATCCTTAAAATGTGTGGCTGACAAAAGTTGGTTTGGATAGAGACTAGTGCATCCCCAGGGCTATCAAGTGTGAGGTATCCTATATGAGCAAGTAGCTGCCCGGAGGGACAACTACAGATATAAAGCAACAGTGTCCATACCCATCCTGGGTGGAGGGGACTTTGACCGAGGGACCCTGATCCTCAGAAGCAGCCCTAAGCAAGAACAACTGGCACTCACCTTCATTGAGGTTGCTGAGAAGCGGACGCTCATAGTGGCTAAGGTGGGCTTTGACGCAACCAGCCCTCGGATGTGCTTAGCATCACAGTGACTTATCTGGAACAAGGAACAATTACGTCTCAGCAATGACATCCTTGCTCCATCAGAAATCCCGGGAAGCAGACATTCATTAACCCATACAACAACTAGTGGGCCAGTCCTTAGAAGGGGGAGACAACTCAAAACCTAGGTCTCTTTTTTTCATCCAGTTTGACAGATGACTCAATAGTCATCTGAAATGTCTAGTAAGAAAAACATCTGGTTTTCTCAGACTTATAATGAACCACTTTCTCTGCAAGGGCTGCTTGGGACTTGGCAGGTGGACAAAAAGTAGAGGCCATGAAGACCAGAGCTAGAGAGCAAGGGGCCACCTGATCACTGTTTCACTGAGTTCACCTGTCTTCTGGGGAGGACAAGCGACCCGGTCTAGGCCATAGCACCTCCCATAAGCCACCTGTTTTGTGATACACACCCACAGATTCAGACCCATGGAGCCTCCGCCTGGCTTTCATTGAACTCTCCAGCCCTTACTAGACCAGCCGTGGCCAATAAACACACAAGTGTCCATCTAAGGAAGTGGTTTTCGAGTTCTCTGAGACAAATCTAACATATTGCAGGAAGAATGACTCAGGGCTCTGAAGTCAGATTTAGCTGAATTCAAATCTCAATAATGAAGCTTTTCCTGCACTAACCACATGATCCTGGCCAGATGGCCTTACTGCTCTAAGCCCGTTTCCTTAACAGTAAAAAAGGAATAAAAGTGCCCACTTCACAGGGCTCTTGGGAAGATCCAGTCAAGGAACATACATTGGTCAAGGGATGCAGGAGTCAGTCAAAAAGTCATACTCAAAGAATAGACGCTTTCAGACATTTTATTATTATTATTCACTAAGGAATCTCCTTTCATTAAAAAAGTGGGAACAAAATTGCCATTACAATCAATGCTAGCAATAAGATTTTTTTGCTAAGGCTACCAGAAGGTAGAGAGCCCCAAAAGCCCTCTGTTGTTCTGTCTTGGGAAATTAAGACTTGGAGTTTTCCTGGCTTGATCCTTAGGATAACTTCCTAGGATTTCAACTCAAAATACAGCTCCTCGTCCCATGAAGGAGGCCCAGAAGGAGCTGAGCGCTCATGCTCTGTCCTGCGTCAACACCTCCTACTACCCAGGCCTAGGCATAAAGATACAGTGAAGACCAGCAGAGGTCCCTGGTCCTTTACTCCCAAATGGGCCTAACTACTTGTACAGGAGCTATCACACATTACCAACACAAACACACCAGTACTTCTGATGAAAGCTGGACACCAAAATGCAAAACAGTCCAAGTCACAAGAGAGTCACAAGCAGAATTCAGGCCCGCCTGCACTCCAACGGCCCGGGCCTTACCTCCACCTGGAGAAGAGATTTGAATATCGACAGATCGAAAGGCAGGAGCTGCTCCTGAATGTTGCTGGTCCCAAAAGGTCCTTCTGTGCCAGAAACCTACGACCACAAATATGGCTTGAATTAGGCCTACTGCTGCAAACACTCCCCCATCCCTGCCTCCAAGACATTGCTGCACTGATGTGCGGCCCAGAGGGCACACGTCCCCACTCTCTTCCAGTCAGCAAGGACAACTTGAAGGCCAGGTTCAAAGCAAAGACTGCCCCCTAATGCTCAGAGTCAGAAACACAAGTCCAAGAACACCAAAGGTGTCTTTCCTTTCTTAGAGGTCCACCCTGTCCCTACGGCCATCTCTCATTCCCTACACTGCCAGGCCCTCAGCAGGCTGCACGTCCACCCACTTGGGCTGTGGCTTTACCTTAAGGTATTTAAGGCGACAAGTGAAGTCCAGAATGTGCCCAAGGTCAGTCTTGGCGTCTCCACTGGCGCATGTGGGTTTCCCCTGCTGCAGCTGCTCAGTGACTGCATAGAGCTGCAATGGCCCAATGACGAAGACCTCGCCGGCCCCCAGAAGCTGCTCTCCTGCAAAGCCATCGTTCTCAAGTTGAGTATCTATCTGCCAACCCTCAACCAGCAATTAGCAAGCACCTATTACGTGCACTGCACCAGGTCAACAAAGTCATGGCCCTGAACACACAGGACCAGCTGCCTTCCAGAGCTCACACGGGGATGGGGCAGATCCTACACGTGTTATGTGCTCATATGGGAAAGTGTGGCTGGGGGGTCCCAGGAGATGAGAGTGCGTCAAGGTCTGAGAACACTGAGCTGCAACATGGCTGAGGAGCAGCTTCTGTTTTATGGCAGATCTACGTGGCGGCAACAGATGCTGTGAGGTTAGGGGCAGTCCCAATACATATGCCAGCAGAGTGCAGGTGGCTGTGGGCAGGCGTGGTTCTACCATTCAGTCCTAGGGCTGCTTCTTCCAACCACATGCTCTCAAGCAGCTACTGAGCACCATACTCAGTATCCACATCTGTGCCTATGACTCCTGGGAGAAGACAGCAAAATACAGGGCACAAGGCTGGACCACAAGGGACTAACTAACACCTGAGCGACTACGATTTTTGGAACCACAGTCAGAGTCGGCTTCTATTTGCTACCTAAAGGGCAGCACACTATTCACCTTCCTGAACTCCCCCACTGGGTTTTGGAATGGATCTAGGTGAAGGACTATAATTCCTTACCAGGATTCCTATAGGGCAGGGAGGCTTGCCCATGAACCAGGATCTGGGGAGCACCAGGGAGGCTTGGCAAACCGTAATAGATGGAGTGATGTGCTGCAACCTGGGCCTCTGACCATCTAGTAGGACTGGGCAAGTTGTACCCAGTGATCTACGGGCTTCTGACCACGTACCTTTGTCAAAGAGCTCCTCAGCCAGCGCTGCAGTGATGCCATTTACCTCCTGCAGAGAACAAAGCCTGCGATTAGAAAGTCCACCTGCCAAGGTCTGTGGGATCTATGCTTGGCCTGCTATTTACTCCCTAGAGTACACCTACGATGAACTCAGACCAAGTCCAAGTGAGCAGACATTGGCTGAGAGCATGTACGCTCAGGAGGCAGGCAGAGCTTGGCCAAGCCAAGGGCTAGTTGGGAATCCAGGAGTCCCCAAAACTGGCCCTGAGAGTGGGAGTCACAGGGAGGACATCCTGTTTCTCTCGGTGGGATGAAGGACCTCCTAAGAGTGGTCATTTTCACTTTCAGTAAACTTCCAAATCTGTCTCGGGTAAGCAAAACTTGCTCTTATCCTGTGCTTGTTCCAGTTCTGCAACAGTAAGGCTCAATACTGGGGTTACAAGATAGAGGTGGAAAACGAGGCTATCCTTTTAAAATGGCATGATGTACGAGGCATGCCAAGGACAAACCTAACAGCTTGTGTGCAGGGCTGTTACTTCGTGCAGGGTTGGTCTGTACACTGGGTATGCCCCAGCACATTCAATTCCCTCTCCACACCCACACAAAGAACTGCACTTCACAGATGAACAAACCGAGGTGAAGAGATGCTATAAGTTTCCAATGTCACATGACTAGAAAATAGCAAGGAGTCCCTGGATGCTATGAATGGGTAAATAGACTTGGCTGCTAACTAAAAAGTCAGAGGTTCAAGTCTACCCAGGGGCACCTTAAAGAAAGGCACGACAATCTATTCCCAAAAAACTAGCCACTGAAAACCCTATGGAGTCTCTTGTGGTTCAACTTTCAGCCAAATGACAGGGAGGCCCCAGAAGGTAAACAGTAACACCAGGAAGGTTTGCACTTCTTAGAACAATCAGTCATATGAGATCAAGAGGGCAGTAGCACTGGCTCAGGGATAAAGCTCAGAAGGCAGGAAGGTCATGTGCCCTGGAGTCGGTTCCAGCTCACAGTGACCCTGTACAGGTTTCCGAGGTTGTAAATCTTTACAGACGCAAAAAGCCTCATCTTTCTCCCGCGGAACAGCTGGTAGTTTCTAGCTGCTGACTTTGCGGTTCGCAGCCCGATTTGTAACCACTATGCAGGAAGGTTAGGAAAGAAGTATGGAAAAGGGAAAAACAAGTAAGAGGAACGTTGTTATATTGTGGGGATTGAAATCAATGACACAAATAAAAATGTGTATGGGTTGTTGGATGGAAAACCAATTTGCTCGATAACTCTCACATCACAAAGGAAAAAAAAAAAAAGAAACCCCTGTGAAGCAGGTAGGGTTCTACTCTGACACAAGTCATGAATCAGAGTTGACTCAAAGGCAAAAGGATTGGAAATAGTAAAGCTGCTCTCTCAACCACTTGGCCCTAAGGCCTTTCTCTTTGTACATAACCAACGGCCTCATCACTGCTGTGATGTAATCGTGGGGCTGCAGGGCCCCCAAGGTGGCAGTGAACAGGCCTTCCTTCGTAAACAAGTCCAGATGGAGGCTGCACAATTGCCCTCAAAACTCACAGGGACATCAGTGCATGCAACTCACATGTCAATTGGGTTCAAAAGGTACTAATCAATTACAAGAGACAGAGTGTTCTTTTCCTGTTTTTCTCTTTGGTTGTTTGTTCTCTTTTTTATAACCTTTTATATATAATAAATATTTCAATGGTTTCTATCCCAAAAAGGCATACAGTCTGCAAAAAGCCTTTTATTTTTTTTGGCGGTGATTTTCTGGACCTTGGCTGGCTTTTCAAGCTTATGTTGTTGTATCTGTGATTCTTTCGTGATCCTGAGGCCTCTGCCCCACTCTAAGATTATAAAAATATTCTCCTAATTTTCTTGTAAGGAGCTTTCTTGTGGTACTTTATGGTATCTTTTTAAAAATATGTTTATTTCTTTAATTGGCTTGAGATTCTATTTATATGATTGCATGAGGGCTTCAAAAAGTTAGTGGAAAAATGGAATTAAAAGGTAAAGAAAAAAAAGATACATGAGCTTTTTGAAAACCCCTTATATATGGCATGAGAATAGCTCTGTTGTCCTCACCCTAAATGAAAAGAAAGCCAAAGGAAACAAAATGAGCAGATACCCTTTCTTTAAAGAGCTCAGTGTGGCAGAGATGTGAGCTAAATGTTAAACGGTGGTCTGAGAGAGAAGGCAGGCTCTAGCAGGAAAGGGATTCTGTGATCAGGCACAGGAGGCTAGGAGGTTATCGGTTCATTCTGAAGTTGAACTTCAGTCTCTTGCAACAACTTGAACTTATTTATATTTTCCTTGGCAGCTGTGAAGAACTAAAGTTTAGGTAGAACTTGGAATGACCCACAAAGGCTGGCTTCTCTGGGTCATGAGATTGAAGCCCTGTCCATAAACTTGCCCTTCCCAGTCCTCCTAGTAGTCAAAACTGCCTGTAAGATAAGATTCCTGAGCACTATGGGGTTGCAGCTCCCAGGCCCCCAGGCCCGAGCCCTGAGTGGCTCCAATACTGACGAAAGCATAGGACACCCCTGCCCAGTGATCAGTACCTAACAATCCTCAGCTTCAAGGTTGCATTCTGTTAGGAAACTGGTGTCAGCGTGGAGAAAACTCACCCTAGACAGCAGCCCCTCTAAGCAGAGTCAGAATACCCCCAAAATACACAGACAGTTAAGAGATACGAAGACCAAGGACTCAAGCTAGGCAAAAATCATGTTTTCACTTTTGAGGATTCTAAACAGCAAACTGTGTAACAATTTCTTATCCATGGCTCTTGGGGCACAAGAAACCAATTGCATATTGCTGCAACACTTAACAGCTGCAACAGGTAACTACTCTTTCCCAGGTGAAATCTTTAACTTGAGCAACTCAAGTCAGCTGGAAACAATGAAAGGCTTCAGCCCCCAAACCAGAGAGATTTTGTGAGCTTCCTCAGAGAGGGGTCTGGTTAAACTATGGGCTTATAAGTAAATGTGTACAGAGTCTGTACCCCCACCCCATTCCGGAGCAGATCCCTGTAGAGGGAGACACCCTTATAAGTAAATGTGTACAGAGTCTGTACCCCCACCCCATTCCGGAGCAGATCCCTGTAGAGGGAGATCTCCCAGGAGATCACCTGTAGAGGGAGTGACTCCCCACATACCCCACCCCATCCTACTCACGCAGAGGGACTTGAATCCCTACAGAAACCAAGGCTGGGGTCTCTGTGCTTCAGGGTGTCACAAGTGTCTTAAATTACGGTGCATTTTTAAAAAACACATTTTATCCCCTCTGTGTACAGGGTAGATAGAGATGGGCAACTTAGACATTGGCTACCTAAAATGAGGGGGCGTTAATGGCACGAAGTGACTCGCTTACAAGTTTTCAAGAGAGCGTTTAGTTTAAGAGCGTGCGGTGGGGGGAAGGTAGAGCTCCTACTGAACAGTTGTTGTTTTTTTTGTCTAGATGGGTCTGGTGCAAAGAGATGGGGATAAGATTCTTATGATCCAATAGTGAGTACATTATCATGACTAATTGTGACTGTCACACTTGTAAAGGTATAAGTTTTGTAACAAAAACAGGGGAGTAGTTAATCTTACAGTCCAGAAACAGAGGACCCTAGGACCATCAAGGGAGAAGAGCACGAGTGGAATATGGGACCCTATCCAGAGAAGCAGTGACACCAGAGATAGAGACAGAGATGAGGACATGGAGAGAGGGAGAGCAGTTGAGGACTCTAGATTCATGGAAAGAGAGGGACTGAGTGCTGGCGGCCAGGTGGCAGGCTTGCTGAATATGCTCTTTGGTTGTTTAAATTATTATATATTCCTGAGTGTTTTTGTGTACATTCCCCACCCCCCCAAAAAGAAACAAAAACAGAGAGAACAGAAGCAATACTGTTGAATGATGATGCGTGGAGGAGATTGCAATCATTGCAATGAAACAATAGTGTAAAACCCATGTTCTCCCATGTAAACTATCACTCAATTCACAATAAAAACTTTAAAAACAAAATACACTTTACATCTCAATTAAAAATCCTCCCCACCAAAAGAAATGATTAGTTATATTTAAAAACTATAACTCTCCTTCAAATGTATTATAAACCAAATGGTCAGCCTTCCTCCAATACACACATACCAGCATCATGTGTTTGTGTGCAGCCATGGGCAGGGGGCATCAGTTTGAGTTTGTACAAACACACCATGGATTGATTGGACTGTAGCTCACAACTTCCACTCTGACTGAGCTCTGAGTTTGGACAGTCCCACAATCAAGTGTGTCCCACAGCACAGATGCCTAATTAAGAACCTGACGCCAGTTCCTGAAGCTTCTACTTTTTTGGTGGGGCATTAACAAGGAACTCAATTATCTGTCACTGCAGCCTTTACCAAGTAGCTAAGTGCTGGGATCCTTGTCTAATTTTTATTTCATGTCTATGCTGAGGCATTCAAGTATGACTCTGGAATATCTTATATGTGGTTCAACTTGAAGCAAAAATTCCCCACTGAGGGATCCAAGACTGCAAATTGGAACAACAAACAACAAAAATCCTATTATCATTTACAGCCTCAGTACTTACTAACCAATGCAAATTAAGGATGTTAAGTCTGATGTAAGGTGGCAATTGGTCAATCACAGCTCCTGATTTCAAATTTCAAAAAGCTTTTTTGTTCTGGCCAATTGGCTTCAATAAGAAAATGATATAAATACCAACAAGCGAGCCAAGTGTCTTTTTTTTTTTTTTAACCAGGACAAGCACAGTATTTAGCTGGCCCCTCATGAGCCCCATCACCTTTCTATTGCTCTTCTGAGCCATGGTCTCCTGCAATCATCACAAGGGCCCCTGAACATTACTCTTGTTCAAAGGAGATGAACTAGGGCACAGAGAAGTTAAATGATTAAGCTGGAATTAACTGTCAGGAAGCAGAAGGCTAGAAGATAAAACTTGGCTTTACATGTTATATGTCCTGCCCCAAAAAGGTCTGCTGGGGTTCTGGGATGGGATCTGCTACTGTGGGTCCAGTAGGATCAGGGCACAGCTGTCCAAGTAGA